CTGCCGGACTAGCTCTCTCTTCTCCTCTCGGAGTTTCTCACCGTTTTAAGGATTTGCCTGCGCGAGGTAGTATAGCGTCGTGTTATACCTCACCGCTTGTGTCGAGAATTGTAAATGCGTGCGATCCGACGAAATGGGCGAGAGACGACGACGCGACGATAGAAACGGGACGCGGCGAATTCCGAGGTGCGGAGTTCTATAAAATATATTCGAAGAGAGATTCGACGAAGGAACGAGAAGAATGTTGGAAGTTGAGGGACGAAGGAAACCGCAGGAGACAATAATGTGAATTTCGTATCCGAAGCATTGAAGGAATCTTAGATTCGCTTTAACATAAAAATTTAGATCCTAATAATTTTAGTATTCTGAATATCGATCACCTTTGAAGTCGCACGGTAGATAATACTTTTTTTGTTATGTTGCAATTCATTGCGTGTATATATTAGGTGTATGCAAAAGTTTTAGTCTTTTTTTTCAGACCCCTAATAAAATTATTTTAAATTGAAATATTTCCCCGTTGTTTTGAGCTTTTGTAAGGTGGCAGAAAGTAACAGAAAATGAGGCAAAATGTTTTCCAGATTGATTTGTAGCCATTTTATGATATTAACAAATAAAAGTAAAAAAAAAAAAAAAACGTCTAAAACTTTTGCATATATCTGATAAATACAATTTTTAGTCTAGGTGTTATTTTTTAAACTAAATAACGTCAGTAGATAAAACACACAATATCTGTTAATTAATTCAAATAGTTGTAATTACTTGAGCAATTGCGTACGTAGATAAAAGATTATATATACAAGTGGAGATTTGCATATAATTTTTTATAAATGCTGTGGCGCAGACAAGTGGAACGGAAAGAGCGTGTGGAAATGTTCTCGTTGAGTCAACGAGATTTTTAACGATTGAGCGTCAATACGTCAGCTTGTTCGGAAACGACAATGCCGCCGAAGAGGACGTTAAGGTTAACAAGTACGAGTTCTCATCCTTTTCGCTCGTAAACGCCAACGCATCATAATTGTAACGAGACACGTTTCCTTCGAATATAACGAGCATCACTTGATGAGATCGGAAGGTAATGGCTAACGGGGTGCTAACATTTCAGATTGGTTCTCGTTAAATCGATATTGATGTATAGCGCAAATCAATCGACCAATTCTCACTTTTAAATATTTAATTGGCCCCTACGTAGATGTTTGTTGTAATGTGTTTTAAGAGATAAATAATACGTGTCACATAGAAAGCATCTGTCGTATCGCGATAACCGACCGGTAAACGTAAATATTACATCTTGCGGACAGAAATATAAATTGCTTTTGCTGTTTTTCACTTACGTGATCCGAAGTGGTCACTGACGCAGTCGTTTGAGGGTTAGAGTCTCGTTTTCCCTTGCTGTCCCTTGCGTAAAGTCTCTTTGAAATGTGATACGCAAAAAACGTTGATTGATTTTGACACTGAGACCAAAAATTGTGAACGAGTTCCGATTTGGTGCAACACGACACGAGAAATTTGAAATCACCACTGCGGTGACTGATTGGGAATCGAGAAAGTCAAGCGAAAAAGCCGCGCGTCACAGTTTCCAGTTTATAATTCTCGATTGTTTTGCGAAAATGTCATTTAATATACCGGGTGTGTGATCTGAATATTGATTATATTTAAATGTCATTAAAATTAAATACGACTATGTAAAAAAAATATTGTAATTTGTAATTTATAAAAAATATGTGCTTAAAACTTCAACTTTTTTTCATGGCATCACGCACACCAGATATAAGATTGCCTTCGTATTTTTCTCCGCGGCTGGAACTCGCGCATTTTAAAAGCTCCGCGGAATTAAACGCACGCCTCACCGAAGGCTCGTCGCGCCGGCCAGATAATAGCTTATTAACAAAGCGTTGCTGGAGGAACGCGGGGAAGTGACAGAGGAACCTTGACGAGGAATCGTACGGAGAAATCGAAGAGGAGAGAAGAGAGACGAAAGGAATGCGAGAATTCTCTTGACGCCGGGAGTCAAGTCACGGGCTTCTTCGACGCCTTCGTAGAAAGAGGCCCAACACAACAGGGCTTTAATTACGTCGATATCACGGTAATTAAGCCGATCAATGCGTGCCATTGTGCGTTGAGAGGAGGGCCTCGCGCTTCTCTCAGGTCCTATCCATAAACCCGACCGCGAGCTTCCTCCGCCACAAAAGCAACCCTACCTCGCTGCGAGAAGATGCGAAGGACGACATGCATCTCTCACCTGCAGTCGAATCTCTCTTCTCTGCCTTGCGCGACCGATCACCTCGTCCCATAGTGGAAAAACCATGACAAAGAACGGGGGGAGGAGAATAAACACAGTGACTCTCGATCCCGTCGACGATATATACTGTCGGTCGGTCTTTCCTATATACCAGGAGTCGCGCGAGCGACTCGAATCGAAGAACCACCGCGGGCGCTCCGGCGGATCTTTTACGAAGAGGCTATTTTGTTCGATCGCTCGACCAGATTCGAGGTTGCTGATGAAATTTCAATGGAAAGGAACGGTTCGCGCGCGGCATTGTTTCTGCGCCCCTCAATCTCCTTAAACCTTTAAAGGCGTGATGAACGAACACAAATATCGAACACCCGTGTCAGTGTATCGCGCCTAATAGCGTCATCGTCGTATCTCACAGATAGATTTACAGCTCAGTATACATTTTTGCCTGTCGTATTTAATTCTCATCTAATCTCTCTGATTGAATGCAATATCCTCGCGTTTAGATTTTCAATTAAGATAAGATGCGGCATGTATCAAGATATTTTTTAAAATCCGCATAATATTGCGTACACACATGCGGACACACTTCTTCACAAAACGCTCGCGTACGTATTTATTTAAAAAAATAAATAAATAAAAAAATTAAAAAGTTGCTGACCCAATAACAACTGACACCTGATGCAAGTGCGCAAAGGTTAAATTAAAAGGCGCTATGATATATCCGTTTCGTTGTGATGAACTACATTTATGATCCAACCGCTAAAATCGCCGAGGTATTATTTTGCTTGAATATCTGATTGCACACATCCTAGATTGATATGCACTTCACATGAAACATCTCGGAATTGCCTTGTAGCAAAACGAATGGATGAAGTCATTAGCTACATGTTGCATGCAGCAATCTGCATTCGAAGAAATCCTTCGGTTTTCAAACAGCCGTGTCCGCAATATGATTATCCGCAAAAGAGCAAGAAGAAGAAAAAGATACGTTTCGCATAAAAGATATCTTTCTACGAATACTTGTTCTCGCTCCTCCGAGCCACTGTGTTTCATTGAAAACACGCACGAAATGTTCTTCATGTTACGCGAAATTTTCTCTCATATAATTAACGACGTACAAAAAAAGTGTAGAAAAAATTATTAGGAGGGTTTTCTCATACAACGGCCAAAATTTCAAAGCAGTTTTTGAGGAAGGTTTTAAATGAAGAATACAAAACGCAATCTGTTTGTATATATGTTATTATTTAAATCTTATAGTTTAAAGCCAAATTTTTTGTGTTATAATTTATTAATATTTTGATTGTGCTTTCTGCAGTCAAAGATGGCGCCTTGAAAACGGCGGTGAGAATGAATTTAGCTCACACGGTCATCTGAAACAAAAATTTCAAAAAGATTCTTAATCCGTACGCTTGCCGCTATCGCAGCTAGCAGAATTGATCATTTTTATAAAAAAGAAACAAAATGGCGGCCATTTAAAACTTTAAAGCAGAAAATTGCATTTGTTTCGCTTATTGGTGATAAAAAAAAATAAGAAATTTTTGTCAAAAATGAACGATTTTGCTACCTGCAATAGCAATAAGCATGTAGATTATTCTTTATTAAAAAACATTCTTTAAAAAATGCTTGAAATTTTGGCTGTTATATGAGAAAACCCCCTTTTAAGTAAAATTTTTTCCGTCTTTACATGTAAAACCGTTACAGTGGAACTTGGTTTATCCGGATCAATTGGGGAACAAGATAGTTGGGATAACCGAGACCCAATCTCTATTATACGGAACTATCGGTCTATATAATAGAGATTGGGCCTCAAGTCGTTCCGGATAAAAGAGGTCCGGATAAACGAGGTTCTACTGTATATTCCTCACACACACACACGTTTAGTGTAGTTTCTAATTTTGCGAATAGATTTTTAGAAATTCAGGTACTGATTCTCTTCTCTTTTCTTATTCATCAGAGAAATTCGTACATTTGTGTAAGAAAACGATCCGTCAAAGTGAGAAAGAAGAGAAGCGCGTGTGTTTGCTACCGCCTGTACCACAGTTTTTTTCAATGTTTGCCTTAAGAGTTAGAACATCGAACGTCTCTTTGCGACCGACCGTTTCGTCTGGATGTTTCTTACTGTTTCAAGGAAGAAAAATGTTTAGGGATGCGCCGGCGGATGTGTTTCTGACTCTTTTGATTTTAGCGTTTGTTTACTCCTCCATTTTCTGAATTATGTGGAAGTAAACGGAAGATGCGCGCGCGCGCGCGCGTTGAATTTTTTTTTCTACTATCTTGTGCAGAGGTACAACGAGGATTCCATTAGTCGTGTTGACTCGGGACTGTCGCAGCATCAAAAAGCATATAGACTGGCAAAATATCAACTGTTCCACAACAATCTAATAGCACATAGATTTATCTTTGTAGAATTCATTAGATATGCTTAACAACGTCACAATATTTTCCGACAATATTATTTTAACAAATATTTGTACAAGATTCTCATGGTATCAAATTAGCAGAGAAATAAGGATCGTCAAACGCCTGAATGTATGCGCAAATTATATCTTGTAAAAAATATATTTAATGTAACACATGTGATAATTTGAATTTAATTCAATTTGAAGATTCACTTCAAATGTTTTTTTTATTTGTATTTCTTACGTACAAAAATAAACTAATCTCTTTCACTTGTTTATAAAATATTATTTTCCGATATTTTATACGTAAAAAAGTTATCAGTTTTATACGTTGTAAAATTGCATGAAAATAATTGTTGTTTCAGATCACGGTCACCAGCACAACCACAACAAGCACAAACACAGTCCATCCTGGTATAAATGATATGGATTGGTTCGCTGGTGTCGCCGAAGAGGAATTGTTGTATTACACGGGCGTCGGCAATGATGTCGATTCCTTGTGGGCTGTTATTGGGAGTTTTGTACCTCCGCCACCTAGACCGCCTTATCTACCCGAAGAGAGTGTCGCCACCGACGGACTCACCACCTGCGATTTATGTTCTTGGGCATGGAGGAACGATAGGCATTCCTTCTCCCTCGATGGCACTCTTGGTAAGTTTTGTAACATTAAAATTTTTTTTTTTTTCAAATAAAAAAAATTAGTTATCAAATAAATCTTAATTGCATTTTTTGAATTATTAACGAAAAATCAATCGAATAAATTCCAGTATTGAAATTTGTTGCGTTAAAAAAATCTTTCCTATTGAAAGAAAGTCTTGAAAAAATAACAATGTCATCATATTTAAAATGTTTTAATTAGATCTACGTTAAGTGTTGTTGTCGTTTGAGCTGAATTCAAAGAATTCTCATCAGACAGACGAATAGAAGTGCTATCGAAATATCTTTGCTTCATCAGTGAAGTAATACGAACGACGTTCATTTACTATGCTGTGTCACTTTCTCTTGTCATCACTTCAGCTAGTAGTTCTCGAAAGATGAGTGGTCATCTTGAACAAGCCATGCACATCCGCACACATCTCGGAATCGGGTTATTTCTCGTATACACATACTCGAATGTGTTTGCGACGTGTTTGTTCGTCAAACAGCTTTTCCAGTCTAGTGCGTGCTTTAAGATTCAGGGCATCTCTTTCTCTCTTTCTCTCCCTGTCTTGAACAAACGTCAACGAGATCTATTGTAAGGATGTTGTAAAATTTCTGATCTTAAACACCTCCCGCGCTCCACCAAATCACATTTGCTTAGAGAGATTTTCTCTTAATTATTATTATTATCCTATTAAAACATTATATACAGAGACTAAAATTTTTTTAAATATAAAATTACATTTTTTAATAAAATTACAATTTTTCTTTTTCTCTCCCTATAAAATGATATATAATACGTGAGAATTAAATTACTAATTACAAAGAATGTGATTTGGCATAATGATAACAATCGATTGTGAAAAAAAATAATAACGAATTTTCTCCCTCCCGGTATATATTTCCGATAATGTGTGAACTGTGAGTGATAATTCTCAAATGCTTTCTTCCAACACAGGCCTAACCTTCATATCCGGTTGACGTGCATCGACCAATCAGAAACACGTCGGTCCCGCTCCCATGATTCTCCCCTTCGAGATCGCACATACGCGAACGGGAACTTACACGCGAAGGCGTACGTAAAGTTTCTGCACATATCGTGACACGCGGGGTTTTCTCCCACTTCTCCGGTAGTTCTTTTCAAGGGTCTCACTCTCTCTTTCTCTCTCTCTCTCTCTCCCCTCTGTCACCCCGCGGGCCCGCCGACGTCCGGGCACGCATTATCGCCATTACCATGAATTCCCGCAGTTATTACGCCTCTGTTGCGCCGCCACCAAAATGGCGGCTGGGCGCATCCTACCGTGCAAGGAGGACGCACACCTCGCGCTCCTCTTTTTATTGTGGTGGCGTCTGCGCTGCCGGCATGTCGTGCTACGTTATACTGCTCGACAATTAACGTCGAGAATGGCGGCGGTCGGCGGTAGGGATAATTGACCCTGTCAGAACTATGACAGTACTTTTACACCGTCGCATGATTCGCTGGATCTCTTTGTTTTATCTTTTTGTCAAATAGGAAAAAATAGTCGCAGCGTATTTCCGATTATATAATAAAAGCTGTGATTTTATATTAAATTAAACTTAAATGTTCCACATTTTTTATCTCATTTTCCAGCCTTTCTGCTCTTCGTGACGTGACAAACAAAAATCGCTTGATATTTTACGGATATTCTTTACTAACAGAGCGAATGGGCGTTTTTTGTCGTCACGTCGCAAGCGAATACCTGTGTATATAGTCCGAGTGTACACGCGCACGAGAGTAGACTCGCGTTAAATAAAAAAAATAGAACCGAGACGAGAGTATGGTGCGCGTTCGGGGCTTCAAGGAGGTTGGCAACGGCGGTAATCATCGCGTCACTTCCCATCCTTCACGATGTAATAATTACGAGATCGCGTCCCCCTCTTAATCTCGACGTGATTCAAACTCGTGGCTTGTCGACGAAGGAAAGACAACGAGGGAGGTGGGAAGAGATCGGGAGAAAACAGAGAAGAGAGGCGCGAAGCGGGCTTTAATACGAGCTTGCGAGTACCTTTCGGTCTTTCGCAGTCTCGTGTCGAGACCGTAGGCCGGCATGATTTGGCGTGACTTCAACGAGCGAGCAAGCGAGCGAGCAACAACTTCGTATATGTTTCGCACTCGGAGATTCGCGCGAAGGTTCGTTAACGCTCGACAAGGGTGCCATTTGGTAAAAACAACGTGTAAAAATATTGTGAGAAATCTGATATGTGAGATTGTATAAGCGTAGAGTTGAGAAATATTCTTTTATAAGAAGGCAGATCGACATAACGATGAAAATTTGCACACGATCGATCTGTGATCGATACGCAAGTAAACGGTTATATATGATCAACTGATAAATTCAAAAACCTTTTGAACTTTGGAGCATTCATTTTATTAGCATTAGCGTTCCAAGTAAGAAATTGACTTGTTCGTTAATTATCGCGTTGATTCGGCGATTTTGCGAATATTACAAAGGAAAAAAACATTTGCCAAGTCTGTAAAATATATTCACAAATATACAAGCCACTTATCGCGTTGATTCGGCGATTTTGCGAATTATAATACACGTACATTGCGGCTCGAAAGAGACATTGCAGTTAAATAAAAAATTGTTGTGTCAATTATCTCGGTGTGATTATCCTTAAAACTGACTTGGACATTTATTTTAATTATAGTCTTTGGTCAGGATATTTTGTTTCTTTATTTTTGGCGAAAGATTTCACAATATTTCATGCGAAAGTTGATATACGGGGATTCACGAGAACAAAGGGTGATTAATTATCGTATCCTTAAGGAATGTTCTGCTCAGGAAAGTACGTCGAGATAATAGAAAAGTAGCTTGAGCGCATGTATCAAGTTGTCAAAAAAAAAAAAAAAAAAACATTACACACGCGCGATGCTAAATGTTTTTTTTTTTTTTTTTTTAAATAAAAACAGCGTCTACACAAAAGTCAAAAATCGCACTCGATGGCAAATCTTTTTCGTGACGCATTTAAATTCGCGCTTGTAAATTATCCCCACTTTGTTTAATTTAACATACAAATCATCTCAAACTTACATGATATTTTAAATTAAATATCAAGGAAATCAAACATTGTGCGCTTGAATGAATTTAACAGAGACATTTGCGAATGCAAAAGTGAGAAATAAAGAGAAGCGATTTAACATCTCTCTGTGTGCTCTTCGTATAGAATGACGTAACGATGTTTTCATAACTCGACGTGAAGCAGATTTGATGCGGCCGTAATGCGATTCGATTGTGTCGCCGGTGAGAATAATACGCAAGCGGATTCCATTCCCGGTTGGGGAAGATGAAAAATGATTCGCGGAGAGAGAGAGAGAGAGAGAGCCACGTATATATGAATTATCGCGGGCTCGCTAATGCCATTAGATAGCCGTCACGAAAGTGGAGAAATTACACGGGAAGAGAAGGCTGAGGCTAGCGAGAGTATTAATCGTGCATTTTAGTGGATAATTAATTCAAAACTTCAAAGAGCCACGGCTTAATTATATGTAAATAAAGATCGCCGGCGCAGATAGACAAATCATCAATCTTTAAGTACGTGAAGCGAACGACGGCGACGGCGCTACGTTTGCCGGCGTACGTGAATTATAGAAAACGGTAAATTGGATAATGAATACGTTTATTAGCTGAGATACTGCATTGCATCGATTGCCCACGCGCGCGCCCTCGTATATTATATCGTGTATCGCACGATTTCGCAGCGGCGACAGACGGCGATCGAGCAGCGCGCCTTGTGCGCTAACGATGATTGGTGCGGAGTTAATTATCGTGTCTCTCCGCGTGTTATCTCTCTTTGGCAGTCTCCTCCCCCTCCTCTCCCCGTACAAATTATCTCAAGATTACGCGTCAAAGTTTACTTTGGAATGATCGCGTGTTAATCAACGGACTAGAAAGCTGTTGTAATATCTACGTGTCGCGACTTCAACCCGCGACGACGGCCAGAACACGGTAAATTAGCGAGTTTCTTCACGTTTTCATTAAAGCCTCGCGTGGGATTCACGTTAATATTTCATTTAGCTCGAGATATATATTTGACGCGGGTCGCGTTTGATTGCATCGCGTTTGATTGCACGAGATTCGCGCCGTTATAAGATCCGATGTCGCAATCTCTTTCCGACGTTGCCGCGCGACGCGATTTCGCACCAAAGACAAGATCTTCGATAACGACGAAAGAAAATTTGTGTCGTGCGTTAATGTTACGCCGTGTGTTATTAAAACGTCTTCTTTATAATGACGACAAGAAAAGTGTTTTTGTTTTTATCCAAGAGCTGCGTTTGAAAAACACAGTCGTTTGTCTCGTGTTTCGAGTAATGTCGATATAAGCGTTCGTACTTATCTCTTGTGTCTAAGTTTCTCCAAATGCTTTTCTTTCTCTGTTTGATTGAGCCGCAAGTCCGATACTATTAATGCGTCCGCCGTGCTGTTTCCAGCGGCATTTCGGTTTAAGTGAGAGATATTACTACCCGAGACTAATTACATGTAGCCCGACGGAATCGTTTCGAGATGGGAGACTTTCTTATCTGCGGCACTTACGGAACTACGCCGTTGTACGTGGTACGGTCTTATCTTAGACGACACGAAGTGTGTGACGCGATATATCCGGAAACACGATCGCGCCGTTTTCCACCTGCCGACGGCACCGCGCCGCTTGTTTAAATACGCTCGTGAAGAAACACACGATCGCTACAGGGGCCCCCGCCACAACTGGCTATTATTTATTGTCCTTTTGCTCGCTCGCCTTGTTTCACGTAGAAGTGCGGTCGAGAGGAAAAGAAAGATGTTGACCAGCCGATGTCACGTGTCACGCCGCAATAGATGCCGTAGAAATATAACCACTGACATTCGCGATGGATCGACGTGCAGAGGCGGACCGTTAACTTTGGGGGCCCTGGGCTAACACTGTTTGCCTGTGCCAGTACTTGGAATTATTTTTATGGCAAAAAAACGGTTGGTTTTGCCGTTTATTTTTGACCACGAAGAAGTCCTTTG